CTCCATAACGGATCCCAGGGACAGGGGAACCCAGCGCTGCTGCTTGCAACATTGACAGGCCCAGAATATAGGTGAATAACTGTCTAGCATGCACACATACATCGAGCCGGTTATAAATACTTGTCCTTGGAATTGCCTTAAACAGTGTTAAATGTTAAATGGATATGCCTTGCTTTGCATTTTACAAATCCTATAAGTCCCGGCTTTGTAAAAATTGGCGGAGAGAGGCTGCTTTTAACAAAATATGTACCACTTTTTGCTTTTTTAGCATACTTCCTCTGGCTGTGGAAAGCTATAGAACTAAACAAAAATGCAGAGCAACAAGGCCATTTCTGTAGTTCAATGCAAGCTACAGACTCCTGGCGTTCCTATGAAACGCGTAGGCATGGCATCGGGCTTCCTCCACAAGATTCTTTTTCTCTGCAGACGCATTTTCCCATCTCACAGTCGCAAAAGCTCTTTTTGTTCACTGCGGAGCCAATCTCCATGCTGCAGCAGCTGCCCAGATGTTCCCTATCAAACTTCACGCCATGCCAACAAACTCTGGCATACATGAAAGTACACTGAGTAATGGGCCTCCACAAATACCATTTCCCCTCCGATTCCTGCAAGTATTTTGAAATGCTAATGGGTTCCACTCGGCCGCAATCTAGAGGGCTGTGGGGCTGGGTGGTGTGTGTGTCCAGTAAATTAACAGTTAAGGTCTATGAGGCGCCTGTTGCTGCGAGCCCTGGGGGGCTTGTCTGGAGTTCTCCAACCTTGAACTGCTGTCACTTGCTTTCCTGCTAATAGCTTTCCAGCGGAGGAGCCAAAAGCGGCCTGTTTTTGTTTTCCAAAAAGAAACTGAGCTCGGCCTGTAGAGCCAACGCTGTTTTTCCCCTCCAGCGCTGCAGCGGGTGATGCTGACGTGGGCTCCCGGCTGGCTCCCTTCCTTCGATGTCCTGCTTGCCACCTTGAGGAGGGGGAGCCAGGAATGGAGTGCAGAGCCTGCGCTCCCTCGTCCCCGCTCGGCAGGCGGTGCTACCGCTGGCTGGTCCTTGGCAGCATCTCCCGCGCGATGGGGCTGCAGGAGAGCCACAGGCGGGGTGGACAAGAGCCTCTCGCGTTGCAGCCGGAAAGCCTGCTGGCGCCACTGAGGGAGGCTGCCACGTGGACTTCGCGTCGGCACAGAACTCTTGAGACCCTCCGCCTGCCCAGTGGAAACGCCGAGAAAGCGGCAACCCCGGAGCAACACTGGCAGGAGCCTCCTTTCCCAGCATCCATGGAAACACCGCTGATTCCCGCCAGCCTTGGAGCAGGAGGCTGGCAAGCCGCGGCACGACAGCCAGGCCTGGAGAAGGCACTGCCTGCGATGGCCGCCCGCCTCTCCGTGAAGACGTGGCTGAGCCCCCAGCCTGTGGGTGCAGGGCCAGCTCCAGGCTTCTGAACATCCCTGGGTGAGGCGAGACCTCCTCCGGAGCCCCTCCGTGGGTCAGCCTGCTCTGTGCCGAGCATGGGTCCCCACCCCAGTGTGGGCCTCAGCTTTGGCAGGAGGCTACAGCACGAGCCGCCTGGGGAGAGGCGCTTGCCACGTGGCGGGCTGGCCAGTCGGCCAGCTCCTGCGGCAGCTTCTGCCGCAAACGTGAAACGTTTCGGTGTGGGGCTGTGCCCGTGTGCAGCGGGGCGACCGGGCAGGAGGCACGCGTGGCCCACTTGGAGTGTGGCTGGAAGGGCGTGGCGAGCACCCCGGCCTCTGCGCTGTGCGAGGCTGCTGGGCCAGAGTGCGGCGGCCAGAGGTGGCCAGCCAGAGGAGGCCTGCCTCTCCCCTCGCTGCTCCGCTCCGGCGGTGCTCCCTCCCTCCCTCCCTCCAGCACAGCAGCGCCCCATGTGCGGGGCCCACTCCTTGCCCCGTGGCAGAGGATGGACGTGCCCGGAGGAGACCAAGGCCGGCAGTCTGCAGGGCACGACCTCTCTGTGGGGCGGGTGGAAGCACGGGGGCCACATCCCACCTGGGCAATCCGGCCGTCCACCCTTGCGGCCAGGGCTGCCGAACGCTGGACTAGGCGGCCTTGGTCGGACCCGGTGCAGCCACCTTGCGTTCCCGCCTGGCTGAGCATGGCACAGGGCGCCCGAAGGAAGGAAGGAAGCAAGCACCTGCGTCCTGGGCTGTATTAGCGTTCCGGGGCAACACAAGCCAGATGCTGCATTCACACGACTCACAGAAGACAGAGCGCTGCGTGGCAGCGGTGCCAGCGAGTCTTGCCTTTACTGTCCCATTGGGCCGGGAGAGTCACTGCTGGTCACGTGCCGCTGCGGTCTCTGTTCCAAGAACTGCCAGCCGGGGAGGCGATCAGAGGCCCCCACGCGTCCAAAGACTTCCTTCTGAGCAGATGCGAATTGGGCTGGGCTGATCGGCTTCGTTCTAAACACACTCAGGGCTCAGGCATTTTATGCTCAGAAAAACCCCATGCTCTACCGCCATCAGGCAATCAGGATACTGGGACTGCCAAGCCTGCTTTCTCACATGGAGGGAAAGTGCTTGGAACATAAGCATGCATTAGCAACACAGAAGCTGCTAGAATGTTCCAGAGATTTCTCTCCAGAATTGCACACCGTCTCTCACTCAGAGGTCTCTGAAGTGGCATGAAGCTGCTTCACAACACTGGAAAATAGGGCAGTGGGAGGGATACGCTGGCGCATGGATCTGGCCCTCATTTATATGTGCGTGCGGCCAGCTTCCGCTCATGCTTACCGGGTCCTCACACCGGGCAGCCTGCTCTTGGAGGTGTTTGGTGGGAGGCAAACTTGGCTGAGGTTGATGGGCTGTATGCCAAAATAGGTCTGAGAATGCGCCCAGCTCAGGGGAGTCACTTCTAAGTAGACTGGCAAGGGTAGGACCGGTCGGCACATTCATGTCTCGCAACGCAACCTGGGCCTTTCTTATGCCTAATTGCACAGATGTGCAACATGCTTTGACCAGCTGCCCTCCTTACTTGAAAGTAAAACTTAACTGTGCATCATGGGGCTTACTCTCGGGAGCACAAGAGTGCAGCTTTAGAAACAAAGGCCTTGTATTTTCATGTTATATGAGAATGCAGAAGTTTGGGCTACGGGTGTCACCCCAATCAGTTGTGCGAGTTAAGGAGCTTGGGTGTATTCACACATGCTGACAAGATGTCAACAAACAATTCCTTATGAAGCGAAGGAAACTGGATTTGCAGTAGTACCAGCCTGGGTTTGGCATTCATTTAATTTTAAGTCAGCTTTTCTGGTACCTTTCCCGTCTCTTCTCTAGTGAAACTCAGTTATATGAGATGGACCATTCAACATGTGTATGTGTTTAGATCACTCAGCTCTGGAGACAGACGTGAACAGCTTGGATTTCAGAATCTCTCATACTTTCCCCCCAGGACTGGGGTATAGCAGAATATAGAGACAATTCATCGAGTTGCATTCTGCATTTTCCCTTTTTCAACCTATTTCTTTGGTCTCATTTCTGTATCTTTTGCCCCAAAATGCCTGAACAAAAATCCTTATGTATTTGTGCACCTTTCCATAACAAATGCATTGTAATGCAACTTTCCAAATATTCTACAGACTTATTTCAAACTACGTGTAAGTGCTTTTAATAGGATGCATTTTGTGCTCTTTCCCCCCAAAATACACACTGAACGAGCATTTTCTGCGTTGTATTTGTGCGCGCATTTCATTCGCAGCACAAAATTCTGAAATAGGAAAACATTGCCATATAAACTGCACTCCGCCGCTGAGCAGGTTTGAAGCTGGACCGGGACCGGGACGGGGACGGGGACGGGGGGGGGGGGGGATATCTACAATTAAAGTTTAAGGCCAAGGCATTTTTCACTCCTCTCTTCTGCTGGTGATATGCAGGTTCCACCTTTGAATCAAAGGGTGCAGCCACAGGGCCCCCATCGCAGGAGCGCGGCTGCAGGTGGAGTCGCCGTTCATTACGATTCCCAACAGGAACTTCAGCGCAGACGTCCAGGCGCCTGCCTGACGCTGCGCCGCGCCGCGCCCGACCCAGGGCTGCGCACCCCGGAGACTTCCAGGGCGCCTCGGCCGCGGGGGGCGCAGGGCCCCGAGCGGCTCCGCGCGGCCCCCGGGAGGCGCCCCGCGAGTCCGTCCGCGCGCGGGGGCCGGCCGGGCCAGGGC